TAAATTTAATTCTTTAAATTGAGTATTTAGAAACTAAAATTATAGTTTCTCTATTTTAAAAAATTAAATTAAATATTTAAAAATAAAAATCAAAACTAGTATTATCTTAAATTTATTAAAAGTGTAATTAAATCTCTATTTTCTTAATTTTTTTTGTTTTAAACTTCTCAATTCTACATTTTGTAAATTCTATCATTATATTATCATCCTCATCTCCTTCCATGTTCTACTTTATCTTTACAATAGTTAATATTCTTAAATAATTTATATTTTTAATTATAATTTTTTAATATATATTTCAGAAATTAATCTATTATTTGAAAAAATAATTAATTCTAATCAATAATTTAGAAAACTAATCGATTATAATTAATTATTTGAAAAAATTATCAAATATGATCGATCATTTGAAAATATAATCGATCATAATCAAAAAGTGTGGTTGTATATGATAGCGGTTCCACTGGAACCGCTCTTAAAACGAACTTCTAATAGCTGTTAAACCTTAACCGCTATCTAAAATATATTTTAGATAGTGGTTAACGTGGAACCGCTATTATATATTTTCAATTATGATCGATCATTTCAAAATATAATCGATCATAATGAAAACTTACATTAACTATTTTTTTGAATATTATGTTTTTAAATTTGCTATTAGAGAAAACGTTTGAGAATTCAAAATGTTAAATACTTTTAAATATTAAAATTAACTTTATCAAAAATTAGGAAAAAAAATTAATCCAAAAGATTTCAAAAATGTATTATAATATTGTCAATTTTGAGTTTAATTATATTGTTCATTCTCAAAGTAGAAAAATATATTGTAATTATTTTAATTTAATAAAATATAATTTAAATTTTTAATACTAAAATTAAAAGATTAAATAATAATAAATTTAATTCTTTAAATTTAGTATTTAGAAACTAAAATTATAGTTTCTCTGTTTTAAAAAATTAAAATAAATATTTAAAAATAAAAATCAAAACTAGTATTATCTTAAATTTATTAAAAGTGTAATTAAATCTCTATTTTCTTAATTTTTTTTGTTTTAAACTTCTCAATTCTACATTTTTGTAAATTCTATCATTATATTATCATCATCATCTCCTCCCATGTTCTACTTTATCTTTACAATAGTTAATATTCTTAAATAATTTATATTTTTAATTATAATTTTTTAATATATATTTCAGAAATTAATCAATTATAATCTATTATTTGAAAAACTGATCAATTCTAATCAATAATTTAGAAAAATAATCGATTATAATTAATTATTTGAAAAAATTATCGAATATAATCGATTATTTAAAAATTTATTCGATCATAATCACAAAATGTGGTTGTATATGATAGCGGTTCCACTTGGAACCGCTCTTAAAAGTGAACATCTAATAGCGGTTAAACCTTAACTGCTATCTAATTATATTTTAGATAGCGGTTCACTTGGAACCGCTATTATTTTTTCACTTTTAAGAGCGGTGAAAATATTAACCGCTCTTAAAAGTGACAAATATTTTATTTATTTATTGACACATTTTTGCATCAGATATCGCTCGAGCGAGACCAGTGTCGCTCAAGAGAAATACAACCCGAGAATGCCAATTTTGTGCAGGTGGCGTCGCTCGAGCGATGTTATTTTCGCTTGAGCGAATGTTGACCTGCGTAAACGTCGATCAAAGTTAGCCGGATAATGTAACATGGGTGACCTCATGTTTGAATCGGATGTCGCTCGAGCGAGAATAGTGTCGCTCAAGCGAAATACAACCCGAGACTTCCCAATCTTAGCAGTTGGCGTCGCTCGAACGATGTGAAATTCGCTTGAGCGATATTGCAAAAATCAGATAAAATGATCGATTATTTTCTCTTTAGCGACCGATTTTAATTCGGTCACTATTTCAATTTGTAATTCGGTCGCTAAATCAGTCGCTAAATGATTTTTTTATTTTAGTATGAAATAGCCACCGATTTAGCGACCGAAATTTTGCGACGCAAAATATTGGTCGCTATTTCGGTCGCTAAATAAAAAAGTGAAAACCAAATCATATTTTGGTCGCTAAATCGGTCGCTAATTGCGACCAGAATTAAAGTGGTCGCTAAATCGGTCGCTAATTGCGACCAAAATTAAATCGATTACGCTAATTGCGATCTGAAAAAATTCGATCGCTAATTTCGGTGGCTAAATGTGTTTTTTCTTGTAGTGTATATTTCAAGTTAATAATATAAATTTATATTATTATAATAAATTATATTTTAGAACAATTAAATTAAGATAAAATTTATATAATAATAAATACATGTATGTAACGATAAAAATTTATTAAATCTTTAATTTTTTATATTGAAAAGTATCGAGATATATATAATTTTTACCTTATGAAGAAAGATGAATAAGAAGGAGATGATGAGTAAGAGGAGAGGAAAGAGAGAGGGGTTTGTGATTGAGAAAGGAAAATGTTTCCCGTAATGTGAGTTTAAGTAACTATATAACTTTTTTTGAATTTTCTTAGTAGTGAGATACTAAGACTTTTTGAATTTTCTTTATGAGATACTGAGACTTTTAGAATTCTCTTTTCATAAATTTTTATATTATATATTGTCTTTCTTACTGTTTGTATTGTATCACAATAAAAAAAATTATTAGTAAAGCGGGCCGCAGGTTGGCTCGACGAGGTTGGCGGGGCGGGCTAAAATGGGCTGAAAGTACTAACTCGCCCCGCCATATTATGGCGGGTCGGTGAGCCAACCCTCCGGGCTGACCCGTTTTGTCATCCTTAATTAGGAAGCACAACATATGAAAACAAAGAGAAAAAAATAAAGAAGAGGGGATAAATTCTCAAAGGGGATTTGTCCCAACAATTTTTCTAAAATATGTTTCTAATCACATGTAATAGACAAAAGTTTGTGTGTATAACTGATTCTTGGATGGAGGTAATTGCTTTCAACATTTGTTAAGTTCATTTACCTTTATGCGTATTACATGTTAACAAAAGTCAAATTAATATTTCAGATATTTTAAAATTCATTCATCTCCATTATCAGAACATGATATTACACATATATATTAGAGAACAATGAAGAAGGTTTTTCGTTCAACATTTTTAGTACTTAGTATGTAGATTATTGTTTGTATTATATTATGTAATTTAACATTTAGGTAACTTAGTTTTTGTATTAGTTTTGACTCTGCATTAATTTAGTTTTGTAATATTTACCTTTTAAGTAGTTTAGTCTTTGTACTAATTTAGTCTTTGTATTATATTATATTATTGTATTTTTAATTATTTTTTATTGAAATATGGACTCGTTGTAAGACAAAAAAAAACATAAGTTTATGTTGGATATGTCCTATGTCCGACATAAATATACGTCGATGATTATGTTTGACATAAATTTACGTCTTTCGTATTAATATTAAACTTGTTTTTGACGTAAAAATACTAAAATAATAAACACGTAAAAGCTTCATTTTGTATTAGTGCTAAAAGAATTGTTAATGGATATAAAAAACATTGATCCCATTTATTGCCAAAATTAAGTTATATGCCATAAGAAAATGAAAAGAAAGTCTTTGAGTCATTTGTGGCACGCTTGATGAGGTAACTCTTTTTAACTCTAAACTGTGTTGTTTATGGCATTTAAAGATGTAGAAAATGTTAGTTTGCTGCAAAATGTTTCTGACCCTGAGTTGTTTTTGACATTAATATACATGAGCTCTTCCAGTCAACTTAATTGGACTAATATTACCGTAGTGTTACCCCTTTTTTTGTTAAAAAAGTTTAATTGGCATGTATATGTAGTTCAGAACAGAAGTTAGTGCTGTGCACGTTAGTCTTGAATCGTCCTTATACACCATATGCATTTACCAGAGCAAAATTGTGTTTGATGTATCATAAAATAGGGCAACGAAGGAAACAAATTCATTATCAGTTATTGCACTAGTCTAACCAAATCTAAAGCAAATAAAACTGTGAATAGAAATGATCACGCATTTTACAGTAATCTTCACACACAGGAACTTCAATAACAATTTGCTTTAACACCAAATGTCAATAATATCTCTTTTTAACATTTTAGCGAAATATATGAACACCAAATGTTAATATACTCTTTTAATATGTTAAGGATAATTATAAAGATAGAATATTATTAATATTTTTTATAATATTTTTTATTAATATCCCTTTAAGGTTTTTTTTATATTGATATTGTCGTTTGATGATGTAGGATAATCACAAAGATATAAAATATTATACTTTAAGTTCATTATTAAGTATGTATTCAATGTATGGTCAAGTGATTAATATTTTGGTAAAGAAATCACGATGATTTTTTAAGTTAATTTTATGATTAATAAAACTCTATAAATATTTCATGTAGTTTGTCTTGCAATCCACTGAACCTGTTCTTATAAGATTTGATTATTTTGTTTTCACTTATTTTGTTGTTAAAGTTTGATTATTCTTACAGCAAAACCACCACAAATGTTTATTATATTAAAATTGAAAACAACCATTTTATCATAATCAAGAAAAATTATAATATATTTTAAACTGACAAAATAATCTTAAAGAAAAGAGAAAGAGAAAAAAAGGATTTAATAGCATTGACGTTTTGAGAATTGAACGGTGAGTTCAACTCCATAACCTAATATTTATGTTTTGGGTTTTCAAAATACTTAACAGTGAGTTAAATACGAGTTGAAGTCTCATTCGATAGAAATAATAAAGTTGAGCAAATGAAAAAGACCCATAATGTTTAAAATTTTTGAATTGAATATTATATTCTCTTATAGTTTGCTTACACAATCTTCTTATTGGTAGCACTTCCTAGATACTTAACATTTACTTTGTTGATTATTATTGACTGAGCTATCTTTCACAGGTATAGATTGAATGCATTAAATTTTTTCTGTAACAGTTATTTTTAGCAGTATATTATTGTGAGCAAAAGTCATATATCTCTCTTGTACGAGGAAGAATATTGATCAGAAGAGATGGAGAAAAGGAGCAGTGCAAGAATGGGGATGTTTGGTAAAAGTGCGTCAAGCCTAACCCTAACCCTAAAGCTATGGGTGGTTGTGGTGCTGGTGTCATGTGCAAAGAATGGTAGGGTTGTGGGACAGCTGATAATAGAGGTGACAAATACATTGGACAATGGAAGTTTGGACTTAACAGTCTCTTGTCCGAATATTGATCCTGCAAGCTACCTTCTGCGCCCTGGTGCTTTCCATCAGTGGATTAATGGCGGTGCTGCTGCTTAATTCAAAACAGTTAATTGTTTCTCACAAGCTTTACAAATATGTCCTACAGTGATTACCAGTGACTTAATAATTCGCACTAGAAACATCAACGGAATACCAATAAAACCCAACAAAACAATAAATGATATTAAAAGTTGCTTACCCTCAATCATTCCGGATAAAAGAAGTTGATAACCCGTAGGCTTTTTACCTTCACATGACATTGCTCAGTTAGACTTTCGTCCATTGTGAAAAATCCTTCACTGCTACCTCCCATAGGAGTCTGGACCATGTCTCAGTCCGAATGTGACTGATCATCTTCCAGTTACTGATCATCAACGATAGATAAAACTCTTACAAAAATCACAAACCGTTGAAATTAAAAATAAAAGGTAAGAACTTAATAACTTAAACTAAATACTCACTAATAAATTGACATTGTAGTAGAGGATGAGTGTGAGGATGAAAGAAATGATAACGAGAGAAAGAGAAGGCAAAAGAAAGTGAGAAAATTAAAAAAATGAACATAAATAAAAATAAATAAATAAATTAATATTAATTAAAATTATTATGTCCATGAAATTATTTATCATAAATTACTTTCAATTTTTACATTTTTATAACTGTTAAAAATAAACTTCTAATGAAGTTTTTTTAGTGAAAGTTTTTTTTACCAATTCATATACTATATAATGATAATATTTATATAGTTTAGTATACTTTAAATTTAAAATAATTAAAGTTGAATATAAAATACAAAAGACTACAATTACAAATATTAATAATAGAAATTATTAACAAATAAATTTATCAACTTAAATTTAAAACTTGTTAATATATATACTGAACGTGAAATCATAGTTTAAACGTGAAAATGTATTAGGAAATGTTTCTACGTTTTGTCATGGATTGAATTTCTATAACTTCGAATATGTAGGGATAGAATTTAACTCATTATAGTTGTTTCATCTCGCTACTCTTAATGCAAGTTCTCAGCTTAAACACTAATATATATATATATATATATATATATATATATATATATATATATATATATATATATATATATATATATATATATATATATAAACATATAATTTAAAAATTAATTATTGATGAATTAATAGTTAATGTACTAATTAATGAAATAAGATAATACATTAATGTTTTGCGAGATAAACTTTAATTCCAACGTTATTACATTTTATATTTTCTTTTTGATACATAAAAAGTGACAATAAAAATATAATTGTTATTTTTAAGAAGAATACCAATAGTTAAATAAAATTAACCTTAAATTGGAATTTTAATTTTTTTATTTAAAATTGATTAATTAGTTCTCAATTTTTGAAAAATATGTAAATTTATTCTTTTAATTAATTTTGTATCGGTAAAAAAGTATATTAAATTTAATTAAAATGCAAAAATAAATAAAATCACATATGTTATAAATTTAACTAGTCTATCAATTTTGTGAATGTTAAAAACCATAACTAAGTTAAAAAAATTTCAAAAATTAAAAGATTTAAATGAGTTAATTAATTTAATGACAATTTTGGACCTCAAATGTTGTTGTGATATGCAGAATGTGAGCGATGAAAATGGCACACAAACAATTCAATATATATTGAAAATTTTTGTTCAGGAAACAAACTCAATTTTATTCATAGATATGAAGAGCAATTCAATGACACAGAGAAAGTCAACATTCAAAGCAACTTAGTCTTAGGGTAATCCATGTCCATCTATGTCCAGCTAACACAAGTTTTATTGGCACCTTGGTACCTGCATGGTCCATCTTCAGTTATCAACCAATGGCACTGTTGGCAATCTCCATCCTCACCACTTGCCAAACACAAATCAAAGTTGTGAAATGCACCTTTCCATTGGAAGAAACAAAAGAATAGTGGCATTATTTCAAATGCGTTGTTAGCATGAGTGTCAATTAAGTCATAGTAAGTACCTGGCCGAATAACGTAGGGTTCAATTGCAAGACGTTCGCAAAAAACGGCTAAGTCCAAATTTCCATCCAATGAATTTGTGACCTTAACAAGTGCCATACCATTTTTTGCTGACACTATTAACAGCATCACCACCCACACGGTTGAAGCACTTCTACCACATGCTTTCATCATTCTTTTTTTCTTTCTCCAACAATCACATTCAACAAATCTATGTTTGTGACTGGTTTTTATAGCTACAAAATTAACATATGATAGGATGGGATGTGAAATATTACTCATTCAATGTTTTGGTTTTATTTAATAAATACAAAGTTAATGTCAATTAAAGTTATTTTTGAATAAACCCATTCAACATTTTTTAAATCAAGATAAATTAATTTCACATTAACTACATTATCAAGCATGTATTTCTCTTTCTTTTTAATTGTTTTTTTAAAGAACTTGTTCTTAAATATTAATTACATTTTATTAATTGTAGCTTATTTTTTTAATTGCATTTATTGCAAAAAGAGAAGATGATAAATTATTAAGAGTGATTTTGTACCAAGAAAATATTAAAATGATGATAAAGATACTAGAAGCATTTTTTTAAAATACTTAAAAATAAAAAAATATTATTTTATTATGAAACTCATACATAAATTACTTGAAAATATTTTTATATATATAATAAGTCTAATATTCATAATAAATAATTTTTAAATTTTTAAATAATTTTTATGAGCAATATCTATAATAAAATGATACTTTTATTAATAAATAATTCTTATAAACAAGTTTAAACGAGATTATATCGAGATACATATTATTTCTTCAAGCAGAAGCAGAACAGATTGAAATGAAACACATTAGTTCCATATATAGCAGCTAAGACTTTTAGATTCTAAGAGACATGGTCCATCATGCTTAACGTGCCATTCACACACTGTGCATCTATCTATATCTCTGTCTTCCATGTATACATCATAATGCTTTATAGGACAATTTGCCCATCGAAAGGAACAAAAGAATTGTGTGTTCCAAAAGAAGCTTGGGTTGAAACTAAAATGAAAGCTTTGATTACGACGGAGAAGATGCAGTCCAAGATCATCCTGTTTAGATCTGCAGTGAAGGTGTAGATCTTCTTTTCCCTCCAAAGTATTTATAATCCTTACAGTGATGCGTTTCGCTGATGCAAACGTGAACACTAACAATAAGAGAACGCTCTTGGCAAACACAGACATTGCAACTTCTTATGCTCTTTTCTGCCCAATGAATCTGTTATATATATATATATATATATATATATATATATATATATATATATATATATATATATATATATATATATATATATATATATATAGCCTGCAAACTAGTGACAAAATGTTCAAAGACAAAAGCTTTATTTTCTTTTTGTCTTTTACCTAATAAGTTCAAATGTATATATTCAATAAATGCAAGAACATTTATTATACACAGAAATTTTAACCATTGATAAAATTTTAAGGCTAATGATAATCATATATCTCTTATAAATATTAATATAAGGTTTAAGAAAATGCATTCTTCGTCTTAAAAACATTTAAAAAATCAAATATTTGTCTGACAAAACTATTAAATATGGTCAAAAAATATTTAATCCTTTTATAAACTTAGGGATGATAATTAAATTTGTATCCACGAGAATCGATCTATTTTTATCTCAAATTTGATAGAAAAAAATTGAGTTAACGAAGGATGAGACAGATTCAAGTTTTTCCTACTTTAAAAAGTCAAAATCGGAGGCGGGGATAGGAGTAAGGATGGGTAATGCAATCTTCACCCGACTCGTTCCCATCCCATTTGAACTTTATATTTAAATTTAAATTTTAAAATATTAATATTTTAAAAGTATTTTCTTTTCTTTTTCTATTATATATAAGGTTATTTTTATATTTCTTTTTCTATTAAATGTTTCTTTTACATACATATTTTAATATAATATAATAAATTAAAATATATATTTAATTAATAAAAATTACAAATTGTAAAATTATAAATATTTATTTATGTATAAAAATACATAAAAAATATTAAAATTAATTTATTATAAGTATAATTATTTTTTAAAAATAATATATATCGAATACGAGGCAAAAAAATCAAAACTAATAAGGACGGAGATGAAGACTTAATTTCTAACTCGATAGAGATCGGAAATGGGACAGAGGTGATTAAAGAAGTTGAGATAAGGGGTTGAGGAGGTAAAATTCACCCTATCTCGCCCTGATGTCATGTCCGAACTATAAGAAATATTGTTCATATGTCAAAATATTTAACAACAAAATGAATATTTTTTTAATTTATTTAAAGAAGTTTAGTATAAATTAATATTTGTGATGTCTTTTTTATCACGTTGTTAACCATAATTTAAGAGATTATTACTTGCTATCAAGTCTTGACAAAAATAAGATAAGAGATAAATATTTATACATTTATATGTACAAAGATGTGAGCTTTACAAGTTTATATTGTTTTCATCTATTTACGTTGATATTTCGGTTATAACATATACAAGAAATAACAATAAGGAAGTGAGAATAATTATCATTTAAAATAATATCATTTTATAATAATATATAAAATATATTTTTCAACTTCCTCGACATATTTCATTTATTTCATATTATGAAGATTTAAATTAAATTTGTATTGACTAGTCAGGATAAATGAGCTTAATTTTAATCACTCTCTCATTGATATTTACTCATTTAAATCTCAAAGGTTCAACTTTTATCTATAATATCACCAAATCTTCATAAATAGATATTATTATTTAAAAACAATCAAATAATATAAATATAAATTAATAAATAGGACAAGATAAAATAAAATAAACAAACGAGGACCGAGTACATAGCTTGGACATAAATCAATAAGACCAATGTATAACTGAAGATAAAATAAACAAATATAAAGCAAGATCAGTACATAATTGAAGATAATTAAATTAGGACCAGTGCAAGACTAAAAATAAATAAACAAATATAAGACAGGTTAGTAAGTAGTTGAAGATAAATAAGTAAGTAATAAAATAATTAGAATGAGATTATGGACACCTCACTCCACAACTATAATTAAAATAAAATAGATAAGATGGTAATAGTCTCATTTCCTACCTTAATAATTAAAGACGTTATAACAAAAATTTTCCTTTAATTTATTTTTCTTTCTTTTTTTTTTTTCTTCCTCTCCCTCTCTCTCATTCCTTTCCCTTTCTTCTTTCTTTCTTTCCCTCTCTCCTCTCTTTCCCTTTCTTCTCTTCCACTTCCCCTTTTCTTTTCTCGTAATCCTTATTTATAATCATGATTAATTCAACTTTTTTTTCATTTAATGTAAGAAATAAGGTTATATTATTATTATTATCTCTTGATGAGATAAGGTCACATTTATATATTTTTATTTTATTTAATTATATTTTTTTAATCATTATCTCTTAAAAATTACCTAAATTATCTAATATATTGTAAACAAAATTTACATAATCTGAGATGTTACATATTGAAAGAAAGATAATATTTAATAAAACATCTATAATATTTTCTTTACACATGTGTATAATTTAGTTTTATAAAACTAATTTTTGAGATGAAGTTGAGAATTTTCAACCCACCTCTTATGTTAAGAATTGAGGGACAGGTCCAATAACACTCGTCAGATTGACATTCTATACTTACTTAATATTGTCATAAAATAAATTATAATATGATTTCAGTCTCAATTTTAATATTTTATTTTTATTTTGACCTTACTTATATTTATTCAGTGAATATAATTGAAAGATATTAAAAAACTAATTATTATTTTATTTTTATGCAAACAACTAACGATGTATACATTAAAAATATTAAAGTACAAAAGTAATAAAGATATTAGAGTTGTTTTTTATTTAATTTGTATTATGTATTCACATAGTTCCGTCTACGTATTCTGTCATTTATTGTGTCATAAATTTGAGATGCATTTAATAGCAATAAATTGCATTTAATTTTGTTTATATGGATGGTCACATGAATATAAGCAATTAAGAGGGCTATTGATATTATTTGTCAGTGCATTATAAGAGTAAATAGGTATTATATTTTTTATTCTTATAGCATAGTAGTGAAAACTGAAGAAGAAGAAGTAGTTATTCTTATAAATTTTTATTTTTTAATTTATAAAGAAGTTAATTTTTTAATTTAAAAATATTTTATTTTATCTTCTTAATTAAAAAATTTTCCCATGGAAGATTTTGTGGACAATTTTATTTAAATAAGTTCTAACTAAATAATTAAAATCTAAGTTGATAGAAAAAGTATTTATAAAGAAAGTTGAAATTTAAGATCTAATAAGAGAGGAATGTGCAGAAAAGAAGTTGGATTGATGTTTAGTATTATTTATACTGAGATTCGAAACGATACATATTATTTTGAATGCAGCATGTGAACCCGAGTAGCATTGTTCCAGTTGCTGCATTCAGGACCATCTAAAGCTATCATACATGGTCCATCTTTCTTAACAATCCAATTACAGTGTGTGCATACACCCATATCCCTACTTCCTATGTATATATCATAATACTTTAAAGTAGAGTTCCACCGAAACGAACAATAGTATTGTGTTTCCAAAATTATACTAGGACGAAAACTAAAATGAAAGGATTCCTCATAATGGAGAAGATGCCGTTGAAGATCATCCTCTTTAGATTTGCAGTGAACTCTCAGATCTGTTTCTCCCTCCAGAACGTTCTTAATACTCACAGTAACGCGATAAATTATTGGATGTGATGACACCACTGCAAACAACAAGAGTAATATAAGAAAGGTTTTAGCACCAGAAGACATTGCAACTTCTGATAGTGTTTCTTTGGTCCTTGGATTCTGAATCTGCCTTCTCTATTTATATATACGCAGATGAGGATGTCAAAATAAATTTAATTTAATGGTCATGCTTAAAATCTGTGATAAATCATTTATGATAAATAAATATTAAATCAGGTTTATTTTAATTCAAATTATTTAAATTATAATTTAAGTCACATTAATCCATAGATTTTTAATTAAAATAATAATTTTTTTAAGAATAAAAATAAAATAATATTATTTTATTATAACAGATTTATTTATTTCAAAAATAAATCATATTTAATAATCATATATATTATTATTTTAAAATAATAATGATGATAATAAAAAATAAATTTTTAATTATTATCATATTGAAGATATATTATATTAAATTTTATATATTAAATTATTATATCTTAAATCAAAATTAATTTTATTAATATAATCTAAATTTTAAAATTTATTTTTATTAAAAAATTTAATTAATTATTTTAATATTAACTTATTAATAATTTTTTTATTATTTTTAATCATATTAAAATTAATGTATTAGTTCGTTGATTTGATATAAAATTATATTAAACTAAAAATTAGGATTGATTTTAAAATATCAACTAAATTAACTTAAATCATCGATTTTTCATTTGATATGTGGGCCAGAGTTGATATGAGAACACGTTTTTGCAGCTATAATAATAATAATAATGGCAAAAACAAAATGTTTGAAAGAGAAAACGAGTCTTTTCTTTATTTATACTCATTAAATACAACTACTTTAACTTCGAATGATGACAAAGGAAATTGAATGATTGATAAAATTTTATTATGTACAAATCTTTTTACTAAAGAATGTATTAATTAAAATTTTTTAAATACGTTTTTTAGTTCTTATAAAATTAATGAGCTCTAGTTTTTTATCTTTCATAAAAAAAATATCTATTTTTTATCTTTATATAATTCTCAAAAGAAAAAAAGTTACAAATTGGTTTTGATGTAAAAGCATGAAAAAAATAGCATAATGTGTATCAAAATGTAAACAAATTTGTAAGAAGTTGTTCTGAAAAGATTAAAAAGGATTTATTAATCAATTAAGTGGATTTGAAATTATATTTAGTGACAAAATGAAAAAAAAAAATTTGAAAGATGTTGTTCTAGAAGGATTGAAAAGGATTTATTAATTAATATGTGGATTTGAAAATATATTTAAATGAAATAAAATGATAAAGTGGATCAAATTTGATAAACAAGTCTACTATCTATCTTAAGTTGATGGATCGAAATGATATTTTAAAGTTTTTGTTTTGATTCGTATCACTAGCTTTTAAACCTGACCAATCAAAGGTGATCTTTTAAGAAAATATCGTAAATTTAAT